CTAGAGTTTGTGATTGGTTCATTGCCTAGTGCTGGGATTGGGGGTGTGAGTGCTATACCCATCCTAGGGCAGGTAGCCTGCATACAATATAAGGTAGGAAAAGAGGCTTGTTCCTCCCTTTTACTCTTGTTGCTTCTGCTGTCTTCCACTGCCATGGACTGTTGCCCCTCTACCACGTGCCACTCTACCTTTTAGCCAGAGGATTACAGAGTGAAACCTTCACAAACTATGGGCCAAATAAACCTTTCCCCCTTTAACTTTGGATGTTGGGTATTTTGTCTCAGCAATGAGAGAAAAGTAACTAAGACAGCCACATACCCTGTAAGTGGAAGAGCAGAGATTAGAGCCAGCCAACAACCTGTGAGGACCCGCACTCTTCAGCAGGCCCTGACAAGCCCCCTCTGCCATTTTGTCCTACAGCAAGAATGTGTCTAAAGCAGGCAGGGCAGACCTGTTTGGGGATCCAGCCATAAAATACATCACTATGGGTCAAACTCCAAAAATCCATGGGCTATGTGTGGGGACGTGTACTGGCCTTTCTTGGTTTTTATGTTGGTAGAAAATATCAGATGAGTGGATAAATGCAGCTGGCATGAACCGTAGATGAAAAAAAGAAGTTCCACAAAAAAATGGGGGCTGGCCTCCATAAAAATTCAGAAATCAATGCCTGAATTGTAAGTGACAGCATTGTTAGTAAATAATAAGTAACCAGCATTTTAATATATTTGTTTATGTAATCCTACAGGGTAGGTACTTATTACTATCCTATTTAACAGATAGGAAAATGGAAGACAGAGAGGTAGAGACTGACAGGAGGTGGAGGAGTCAGGACCTGGCCCCGGTAAGAGGCTTTACCCCTCCAGCTACTCTTAGGTGCCTCAGCAGACAACTCCCACTCAACTCGCAAAAGATGTTTTGAGAGAGAACATGAAGATAAATGAAAATGATCTTGCAATGATGAAAAGCTATGGCACCAAACATTAAAGTAAAATAATTGAAAATGTCTTCCTCCCCTTTGAAAATATGCACATGACTCTATCTGGAATGATTTAAATTCAGCCCCACTACAGCATTTTCCCTGATACCTGTGAGAGTTCCAACGGCAGTTAAAATAATGATGCTGCTATATATAGAGGTTTTTAGAGAGGAGGGAGAAAGAAAGACGGGCTTGGGTGTATTTGTGTGTGGGTGCTCATCATGTCAGTCCGCTAAACCCACACGCAATCAGACACTAGTCAGACACCCTTTGAAATGGAAAGGGTGATGGTAGACAGCAGCCCACTCCTGCTCAGGTGCCTGAAATAGAAAGGAGCCGTGGAAGAAACCACAGTCTGAACCCAACTCCCTACGCTCGCGCGCGTGCACACACACATGCACACACATGCTCACACTTCCCTCTCATACCACTCCATAGCCCATGGAAACCCAGTCCCTCAGGTCCTAGTCAATAAATGAAGAATGGGATGGATTACACTTTGGAGACTTGTACCAAGAATAATGACAGATAATCATGTCTTCTATTAGTGATATTTTTTAAAAAGTGTGAATCAGCCAGTAAAACAGATAAATTAATGCTCCTCATCACTCTAGGAAGCACCATCTACTACTCTCTCCATTTGAGGTCATGTTGATTGCTTATTGAACTGAAATTACATTAAAATGGATGCTGCAATCATTTTAACTAATCAGAGGCAGTAATCTTTTAAGTAGTGCTTCTAGGAATAATTTTCTGAGGGTTTCCATTCAACAAACCCTGATACTACAGGGAGGCAATGGTGGCATAAAGAGGGTGCGCAGTCTTGGAATAATGACATGCAGGTCATCTGCAGACAAGACAGGTCACTGCTATGAGGTCCAGCACACGTGGTGAAATAAATGTGACAGGGAAAGGGATATGGCGTCTGGAGCCCCTGTCTGTGGGCCTGTGTGACCTTGAGCAAACTACTTCACCTTCATTTGTGAAAAAGGAACAGTGTTAGTACCAACCCATAGTGTTGCTATGGGAATTAAAAAGGTTACTAATGTAAACAACGCCTGGCCCACCATTAAGTTCTATGTGTACGATTCTTGAAGAAACCAGAGGTACAGATTAGAAGAACTTTGGTAGGGAAAATGGAGGTCCTGAGAGAGGTCTCCTGAGTTAGGGCAATGCAGACAGAGTAGCCACTGAGCAGGGGAAATAGGAACACTACACCTTCATTCAGTAAGCTCAAAGGGAAAGTATTTTGTGCACATTTTCATTACGTCCTGGCCTTAGCTTGTTTCCACTTGTCCCTGCTTCTCCCCCTTTCATGGGTTTTCATGTCCTATTCAGTGACCATGGGAACTAGCCACAGAATACGAAATAAAACTCTAGTTCAGAAGAGCAAACTCATTTCTGGAGAGAGTATTTTAAAGGGAAAATAGGACCTTGCTCTCAGATATGTTTCTAGGACTCTGTGAACATTATTAAGGAGAAATTTCACCCTTAAAAAGGTCATTTTCTGTTTTTAGTTAGGAAGCTCCCTGCCAAGCTGAAAAAGTCAAAAACAAAAACAATACAAACAAACAAACAAAAAAGAGAATACCAGGATAGTTTGACATATAGGGCAATTCTTGGAGAACTACAAATAATAACTGAATGTTTTCTAACTGTGCTCCAATGAAATTTCAGCAACTTGCTGAAAATTCCTATTGCTCTGGTATTTCTGTGCCTGTCTAGTTTGGGTATTCTGCATATGTGTACCCATATTTAAAAATTCTCTTTCTCATAGACACCCACACACCCTATAAATGGCTTTGAATACTTGTCTAAATAGATAAGCACTTCTTAAAAAAAAAATGCTCTGACCAAATCAGTTGCATAGAAATGAGGTCTCATTTAGTGGAAGCAAGGAGAAAATATCACTTGGCCCAACAATTTGCACATAAGCAATTATTGTTAAATGTACTAAAATGCAATGGACTTAGATTTGATTAAGTTTTCATTTACGGTGTTCTTTTTTTAACGTGTATAATATGTATATTATATAAAATTAGAAAATATAGATGAAGCCAAATTGTTTTCTTTAGTTTTTTGGACAAGGCTCACTATGTAATTCAGGCTGGCCTTGAACTCAATGGATAGCCCACTATGGCCTCAAAATTATGGTAACCCTCCTGCCCCAGCTTCCCAAGTACTAGGATTACAGGTGTGCACTACCATGGCTGGCTCAAACCCAAAACCTTTTACGATTAAAATGATCATTTTGGTGGGGCTATTAGAAGGAAACACAGTTCCTAAATCATGTGACCAGAGAAGGCTGGAAGCCTTTAAAGAATTTGCTTCTGTTTCCTAAGCCAAACAATGAGGAGTGTTAGATGAAACAAAGTAGCAAAAATCTAGGGCTTAAAAGACCTGCAACCCACGTACATTATCATGGATAGTGCAACCGTGAGTACACCCGTGGGTCTCACTTCCCACCTAGCAGCAGATAGCTGGACTAAAGAACTTCACACAATTTGGGAACGCAGTCATTCCTGTTACAGGCCTTGTTGACATGAGCCTCTGCTACAGCTGTCATTACATCCTAGCGCTCAGAAAATCCTATTTTTCTTAACTAGACTGAAGAATCTTCCAAATTTTTTGGTAATGTACTTTCATAACAAGCGCTCCTGAAGGATGGGATGACTATTTCCACCCTGCGTCACCTCCCAGCCACCTGGGGCTCACTGTGTCTCTGGTGCCTGAGGTGTAATTAGCACCATGAAGGACTGGGGACCTAGGATCACAGTGCTTGTCCTCCTCAGGCGGCCGTCACTTACCAGTAGGTCCTATAAAGCCATAGGATCCTGTCATGTGTGCTGAAAGAGGCACTGACATGTGTATTTCCTTCTTTCCTCCCAGTGGTCAAAATCCAATTTCTATGCAAATGCTTCGATTATAACATTCTTATTTTTAACAAGTATAAGGTTCCACTTTAATGGGAAGATTTGGAATAGAAATGAGTTACTCATCCTTATGCATTAAGCCTCACAGAACCTAAAGGGGATTGATTCTTGGTCTTCCAAGGACTGGCAAACTCCACAGAAACCAAGGTCAACCTCAGGTCCAACTCCTAAAGCTCCAGGAAAGAGATGAAGCCAAACTTCCTAACCTGGTGCCCAGAGTTCAGAACACGCTGACTTATAAAAGTTATCAACTGATCTACAAAATATTATTTCCAAAGTCTATATTAGAAGAGAGGGCAACTGGCTCCTATTTCAGGGGAGAGGGAAAAAGACTTGGTTCTCTTTGGATTCCCACAGTTCACATGAGACTGTATCATAAATACATGCAAATCCCTGGCACACGTATAACTTGCCCTCACTTTTTCAAATCTCTCTTTAGGTGTCACCATTTGAGAAAGATCTCTGATTGCCTCATATAAATTCCCTTCCCGCTTTAATACTGTTCGCGTACTAGATAGTTCTGTGTATGCACCTGTCCCTGTGCTCTCACTAGAACGCAAGCTTCTTGAGGACGGGAGAGGTTTATTTGCTCACTGGTCTTTCTCCACCTTTAAAACCAGTACTCACTGTAGGTAAGTACATCATTCCCTACATCAGCAAACTGTTAAATGAATAAATGTCAGAACCCCTCCAGGTGAATTATTTAATAAAGCATTTATTGAAGCCCTAGTAGAAACCACCCACCTTGCACCTTAGGGAAGCAGAGACAGCTATTTTAACACACAAAGCAACCAGTCACATCCTTGCCAGGCATTCCTGCATTTCAACCTCCACGGTGGAGAAGGTCATTTGCAATGTAAAGCCTTACAATTACTTTACCATGACATTCAACACTGGCAGGGTGATGCCCAGCTCTGTGACATAGCGAAGACGCTTCTCCTTGCGTGGGTTTTACCAGCCATGACATTTTTCAAAGGAACATGCCCTAGATAGGACCTGTCTTGGTTCTAGCTAACAAGTTTTCCCAAAGGGGTGGGACCCGCCAGAGGGCGCTACAAGAGCATTCACGTCAGCGCGTCATGGGCACTTACTGCTGGAGCAGGTGGCTTCTTTAGGGCTGGAAGACATTGGCTGGGCACACAGCTGGCAGAGGCAGTCTCTCCCATTGAACGTGACTCGGTCTCCGGGTGGAAACGGGCGCCTGGAGACAGAAAAACACCCCCTCCACGTTATTCCAGCAATTTCATTTTTTTTTTCCTTCTTTCTGCTTGCTCTCCTCAGGTGCAAATTTATTTCTTAGAGGAGCGCCAGCTGAGATGTCTGAAATGCAGCCATGCCCAAGCCAGCCAGCTGGCTACGGTCCAAACAAACAAATGTACCTCATTATGAGAAAAAGAATGCACAGGTTCTATAGCAGCTTAACAGTAAAACAGAATGATTTACGTCCGTTTGCTAGTGGAGGGATGTCCTAACAAGTCACCTAACAGGGCACGCAGAACTGTAAATTTCCAAATGGAAAATCTTCATAAAGAAACATTTTAAATGCCGTAAGTTCCAACTGAAGCTCAGGGCTGCACCCCACTGGTTACTGGCCACGCATGAACCCTGCCGGCTCCCTGGGACCACGCCTAGAGTTCCATGATGACTGTGCTGAGCTAGACTTTGTTCTTTCTGGACATCTGAATGCTTCGCAGTATTGGAGACCATGTCCCTTATGGAGTGAGAGGAATGGCCAGGGCTATAAAAATATCTGTTTAAGAACTAGTAGCAACTTCTTTCCAGAAAGGTGATTTCCTGTTACCCTGGAGACTTCTCAATCACAGCACATTTTACAACCATATTAGATCCTGCATGTACATTAGCAGTGTCTGCTCTCGGGTCACCGGTGGACGACCGTTAGGAACGAAAGTCATTCATTAACAGAGATATGGCAGTTTCCATGCCTGCTGACTTGCAGCTGGCCACTTTGCCAGCAATCCTCATCAATGTGAGTTTTCAAATGTCTGATGTACGCAGTTAGGAAATGTGAAACTCACAGCCAGACATCCCAAACCGAAGTCAGAAGCAATCACTTGCGACCAGGCCCAAGCTCCCTGCCATTGGTCTTCACTGTCACAGCTGCTGTTCTCCTTGAAGTAACCCCTAGGTGAACTAACAGCTGGTCACTAATTGCAATAAATATGCACAGGTGAATGTGGATTGACCTCCTCAAATGTGCTTGTTGCCTCTACGCAGAGGTTTCTATAATTTTATGCAGTGGTGCCTTGGTTCACGAACCTAATTCTTTCCATGATTCTGGTTGCAAACCAAATTATGTGATTCGGTTCTTGTCTAATTCAGTTTGCGACCAGAATCATGAAAAGAATTAAGTTTGTGAATGGAGGTACTAATGTACCTCCAAACATTAAAAGTCCTAAGGAGAAGTGGTGTTCTAGGTAAGGCCCAGAGAGGGTAAGTGACCTGCCTGGATGGAGCAGTGTGGAGACTTGGCCACAAGCAGGTGAAGATGGTGTTTTCCAACTCAGCCCCTGCCCTGTCTTTGTAATCAACGTCAATCACTTTCTGGTGAGGTCAGTGGGCCAGTCATTTTAGGATCATTAGTTAAAAAGAAAGCCTTAAAGCCACTCTGTAAGGAGGATGTCAGAGTTACGGGTTCAGCACAACAATAAGCACAGGGTCTTCTGTCCCTGGTGAGGCCAAGGCCTGGGTGAGGCCAGTGGGGATGTGGGGTCCAACCTGTACAGAAGCACTCATTTTCCAGGGTTGACCGGCACTTGCATGACATGACAATGAGCGCCCCTTTACATGCCGCACCCCAGGTGCCTCACTTAGCTTGCCTGAATTCAGAACCTGCTTCTGATCCATGCTTATTTTTTCAGACCTGAATCCTACACAAAGCCCCCACAGCATACTCCAGAGTCCAGTGCTCCGCAGGGGGCCAGGCCTTCTGAACCCGGAATTTTGCTACTTTATGATGACCCTTCTCAGTTTTTCCCCTCCTGCCCTCTGTATCCTCTGCCCTTACAGGTTTGCTTTCTGTATGGATGAATATTTGTAATAGAAAAAATGAATTTAGATTCAGAAAACCTGAGTTCAAACCTCAGTCTTCCAAGGTTAACCTGCATAAGTCTTATACTCTGAGACTCCCATAAATAGAGTTAGTAATTCTAGACTGACTTCACAGAATTACTACGAGTTAAATTCTATGTGAATGTAATTAGTAAGCCATCAAGTAGGTCCCAATTTAGATAGAGTTATCATCATTTGGAAGCAGCAGCTGCCACTGAATAGTACAGGCTGAGCAATCTTAACCCAAAAATCCAAAATGCACCAGATTCCGAAATATTCTGAATGCAATGTGATGCCATCATGGAAAATTTCACACCTGACCTCACGTGATGGGTCACAGGCAAAATGCAGGTACACTAAAAATTCTATATATTACCTTTAGTCTATAAGATATACTGTATATGAGAAAATTAATTTCATAGTTAGACTTGGGTCCTCTCCCCCAAGATACCTCATTATGTATATGTAAATATCTCCCAAACCTGGAGAAATATGAACTCTAAGGCACTTCTGCTCTCAAGCATTTCAAATAAGCAATACTCAACCTGTAGCAATCGTGAGCACCTCTGCTGCCTCAAACGTTCAGGGACAGGTTCTCGTGAGCTACATTTGTCCGTCATTACACTGACTTTAACACAATAACCTCTCTGGGTCAGAACAGATGGCTCTCAGAGTCTACCTGGACCAGCACCTTCCACCCGGGCTGAGTAACCTTGTAGCTGCGAACCCTCCTGAACCTAGTAAATCAGGACGCGCTTTGGACATTTTTAAAGGGACTGCAGCCTCACCAGACCCAGGAGGTTTTGGTGATCACTCCGCCTTGGGGATCACTCTTATTTATTCATAGCACCCCCTACTCCCATGTTTTCTTTTTAATAGTAGACAGCTCTGGCTTGGAAAACCTCAGTCACAAAGGTTTCAACTCAGCCCAAGAAGTGGAACCAGATTTGGGTCTCCTCAGCAGCTACATGTCACAACCTGAAAAACATGTTAGGGTGGAACTTGACTGAGTAAGAAAACTATTCTGCTTGTGAATCTCAAAATTTTTAAATTATGATTTTAAAAACAGTGATTCAGAAATGGGCTAATCTTTATTCAAAACACAAGGGAGTAATAGTCTGCCATAAAGAAAGATAAACTTGAGTCATTTGTAGGAAAATGGACGCACCTTGAGGGGGCCATAATGTTAAGTGAAATGAATCGGACACACATGTTTAAATATCTCATGGTTTCTCTTACACAAGAGACTCAGAGTAACAATCAAGAGCAAAACAAAAATAGATAGTAGGAAGTAGGGAGATAAATCCTTCCCAAAGGGTAGGGGATCAAGAGAAGGAAGGAGGAAAAGGGGATGAAAACAAGAATTAAGATGTGCTGGGTACATACACCAGTGGTACACAAGGAACGTAAACAGTACGTATTACAAACAAGTACTAATAAATTAAAAAGTAATTTTATGAAAATATTTCATCTGACTTATGACTTATCTATCAGTGTTTTTTGTTACTCATTGTACAAAATTAAATCTGCCCTTCCAGCATGTTATCTTTCTGGCTTAGAAACATGAAACACTGCAAAACAAAACATCTCCTTCTGAAAGGTAGTTTTGGACCCAGGCACAGCAAGATGGAACCCCAGTGCACAGGGCACGAGAGCGTGACCAAGACTGATCAGTTAAGTAGCTGACTCTTGTTGGCAAGTCTCCTAGTTAGAGGCATCAAACCCATCTGTTCTATAATGCATAGCACCAGAACACGACAGTCTCCTACTCATACTTCACCTACTTTTTCTTTTTCACCTAGACTGGTCATTTTAATCAAGCTTATTTATGCAGCTAAGATTTAAAGTTGGCTGATGCCAGACACCTAAATAGCAGGGTTTGGCAAATTTCCCCCTAAAAGACCAGATCATAAGTATCTTCTCAGACTTTGTGAACCATAAGGTCCCCATCACCACTTCTCAACTCTGCCACTGTAGCTCCCGCAGCAGCCCTGGACAGTACTCAGACAAATGGGTGTGGCTGCACGCCAGTATAACTTCATTACAAAAATAGGTATCAGGCCTACTTTAGTCTGTAGGCCATCATTTGCCAACCCCAATGACACAGGAAAAGGATGATTTTAAATGCACATGCCACACACATAAGGACTTACACATCCACATAAGCTTTGTCCTTTGAGCAGCTTCCAATCCTCCACCAGTGATTTTACTACTCAAAATGTTCTGAGGCCTTGAGCTGCTTCCAGACTTGGTTTTAAGGCCCTTGAAGTCAGTCATGTCACTGTGTAGAACACATCACGTATAAAGTTTCCTCATTCAACTACATTTTGACTAAGATTGAAAATTCAGCAGGAAGAGGCAAAACAGTAAAGGGGTCCTTTAAGAATAAGTACTACTTAAGCCCAAAGGACGACATCTCAAGCTTTACTGGGGAAACCAGCGTTTCCCTGCTGGAGGAAGCTACAGACTTGAGGAAGATGGTCACTTACTTGCAGATCGTACAAGCAAAGCAGTTGGGGTGATAGGTCTTGCCCAGGGCAGTCACCACCTCACCCTCCACGAACTCCCCACAGCCATGGCAGCGGGTCCCGTACATCCGTTGGTAGTCCAGGGTGCAGAGATACTCCCCGTTCTTTATGAAGAAGCCCCCTTGGGCCAGGTCACAGCCGCACACTGTGGAAAGACAAGTTCACATCTGGTCGTTATCTACCAAGCTACTGGGAAGCAGCTGCCTTCTACTGAATGCTGGCTGCTCACTATGATCTCAATGGTTCGGGGCTAGGGGAGGGGACTGGTACAAAGAGCTATTTATTGTTGGTCTCTGCTTTCTCCCTCTCCTCCCTCCCCTTGGGAGCTATGAAATATCTCATACAAGTAAAATCTACTGGCTGGGTCTCAATGGCTTTTGTGGTATGTCTGAGATTCAGAGGTAACCAGTCTCTGATGGAAAGATATGCCTAGTTCAGGCTGGCTTAGATATGAACAAAGGTGTCCCTGGCAGGGCCATTAGGAAAGGTGCCCACTGCCTGCCCACACAGCTGCTTGGTGTGGGCCAAGATTGTTACTGAGTTGAGTAATAAATTCCCACTATCCCAAAAGCAGTAGCTGAAATTTCCAAAAGCTATTTTTTCACACTCTGGAAATACTTTTCCGTATAGACAGCAATTTTTCTCTTTGTGCAGCAAATAGCATATGCTAATTATTTTATATTATACAGAGAGGAAAGAACCAGACAGGCGGAGGGGAAAGAAAGGGGGTCACGTCTAAAATAAAACTGTCATTCACCCCCTAAGTTCATGCAAAAGAGGATGCTATATTGTGTCTGCATTTTGGTGTCTCTTTCTATATTGAGCAGTTATGGCACTGCGAGATGTACAAACAAGGAGATCTTGGGCCTGGGCTGCATGTCCGGACAAGACCCGAAAAGATCGTGACAGCTTATCCACAAATGAAGCCTAAAGGGATCCCCTGATAGCAAAGACTTTCCACTGCCAAATGACTAGAAAACAACAGAGAAAGCTGGGAACCTCCAACCTTAACTTCACTATTGCCAAGGTTAGGTGACTCTTCTAAAATTAACGGCCTCAGGCAAAGCATCTTGTGTGATTCTTGTTTATTCCTGCAACAGGGTAGGCAAAATATTCAGTTGGGGGTTGGTGACAGAATTCAATCATGAAATCTCTCTGAAGGATCCGTAACACTTCCAGGGTTCCTCTGATCAGTTCCTATGACGCATTAATGCAGCTAATGAATTAGTGCTGAGCACAGCAAGATTCTGGCAGAATAACTCCTCCCCATCGCTCTGTGAGCACTCTTTACTAACTGCAAGCCACTAAAGGTAGTCAAGGTGACAAAGCACCCACAAATGAACTTTCCACTCAGACTCACTGGTCTTTGTTTAGATCAACACTCCACGGATAGGACGTTCTTCTTTGCAATTTATAATTAAGTAACTCAAGATTATGGCCAGAGTCCATCAGGCCTGAAACTGACCACCCTATAAATACTACTGTGATCCTGTTCTCTGGAAAACAGCTTGTTTACCACCTGCTGCCTCCTGTCACCTGCCAGCATCTCCTCCTGCCCCCACGGTTCTCACACCTGCTTCTTCCTTACCAAGTAGGTCACGTGGGGAGCCCAGGGAGGGACTAGCCTCACTCTGACCTCGATTCTTTCAGCAACAGGAAGTGATCCTGGGGGATAGGCATCAGAGTTTATTAGAGCACGGAATGCATTAGAGGTTTTTTCAGTATTTTTCCAGGTACATATGATTTTTCCCCTCAGTGATAAGGCACTTTATGGGTAAGAGTTGTCATCTTTACTGTTCTGGATTCTTCTTCAGGAACTTCCAACCATGACTATCTAATACAATGCAGGATATACAATTGGTAAAACTGAATTCTGCTTCAGATTTGGCAGGTTCCCACTGATCTCACACCTCTGCGACATCAGCCACTCTGATGACTCAGTTACTCTGACAAACTTAGGTGTTTCTCAAAGCCCTGAGAAGTGGCAAAGCAATGCATCTGGATCACTAGTCATTCCCTTTATTCTCACCGCCCATCAATCTTGATATGAAAATCATATGACTTGATATGAAAATTCATAGTTCTTTTATAAAAAGATCTGGTGGCAATGGGGAAACCTTTACGCTAATAGAGGTCAGCAATGAGAGTTTTAAAGCACACACTGAATATTTCAGAAATTCTTTGTGTGTACTGTTTCCGTGGGGCACCTCTGTTCAATATTCTCTGGTTCACACGGCTTTGTGCAACTGACATATACTCTTCTTATTAAATCTTAGTTTTATGAGCCTAGTGTAGCCTTAAAAATGTAATACTTCTTTTTAACACTGCTGAGAGATGCCAAGCTGTGCCTCACTGAGATCTGATCTACCTTTCCCCTGAATTCAAAGCAGCGGTGGCCCAGGCTGGTTTACCAAACTGTACCGTTATCTCTGGTGGTTTAGACAACAGGGAAATCAGTGTATAAAGAGCCAGGCGTCCTTGCAGGCACACACAACAAGCAGTGAGAGGGAAAGCCCATGCAGCTGAACTTCACAGTGTTATATTTCCTAGGTCTGAGTGGCTGTGACACAATTTCAGGCTCTTTCCTCTTTTGCATTCCAGCAAAAGGGCTCAGCTTCAGGGCCCTAAATGTAGGTAGCTCCTACAGATGCCATCTCCTTCTCTCAGGGAAGACCTCAGCCACTCTTGTAGCTTCAACTAGGACTTTGTGCAATGGATTCTCCAATCCATGATCTCTGTCTGTGATTTACAGACAGCACACTTACCTCACATTGAGCATTTTCCAAAGAGGCTCTAACCTCTCAGCTTCTCTACTACCCTCCCCTCAAAGCTTTATTGTTTTTCTGTTCGTCTCTTAATGGATGCGTAACAGCAGCCACTTCCCCACTGTGACACTAACATTTTCAACTGGCCAGTAAATCCAATCAGGTTCCCCAACAAAACCATTCGCAGAGCCATGCTCTCCTCCTCTGTTTTATGGCTGTCACCCCTGAGATACCTGCCTTCAGCATCACACTCTTGCATTCCAATGATTTTGTTATAATCATGTTTGTACTGGCAAAACATAAACAAAACAAAATTGAAAACAAAAACATCAGAAGTCTGAAACAACCTGAATTGTCATCATAGAGTAGCTGAATAAATTATGATATGTCTAATCCGTGAAGTGGGCGTTAAAAGACTGGACTAGATCAACACACAAAATCAGCATGCAGTTTGTGATGTATCATTAAGTGAAAACAACAAATGTCACAGAGTAAAGAATTATAATAATCTTATTTTCAGAAACTTCTACTTACATTTTTGTAAACAAGGAAAAGTGAGTTTATATAGACAGAAGGTAATTAAGTTCTCTCAGGAGAATGATGAATTGTTAACTTTTTTCATAAAACTATGTGTCTGCTCATTCTTAATTTTCTTTGCAGTTGTGATAACATATATAGAATTTACCAACGTAATCATTTTCAAGTGGACTGGTCAGTGCATTAATTCATCCAGCTCCCAGCAACTCTCCATTATATCTTCGGTATGAATCTGACTGTCCTTGGTACTAACTATTAATGGAAGTTCACCTTATTTAACAGTAAGATGGTAAGAGAAATCACCCCAAACTTAGTAACAAGGTAAAAGGAGGAAAGTATTTTCTTTCAGTGTTGTTCTGGAGCATTCCTCAACAGCTTAGCAGGATTATTTCATTATCTAGGGGAACAGATCTGTGTTTGACAAGCTTTTTACTGCTGATTAAAGGTTCAGACTTTGCAAGTTAACGTTCACTTTGTCCAGAGGAGATGCAGGTGATTTCTTCCTGGTGTTATAGTCCTGTTGCAGCACTAATTAGTGTTCTATCTCTCCAGCCATCTCAACCTCACATTCTTTCCTGAGTGTCTTAATGATCCATTCCTTCAGTTCTCCTTCAAGGCAACTTTAGCACCCTGCTGGTTCTGTCACTAATGAACTTACTCGATCTTTGACACATCCTCGTTCAGCATTTGTATGTGTCATAGATTTAACTTTTTAAAAAGTATATCGACAAAGGTGTTAATCTTTTAAACCAAAAAAAGTCAATATGAACATGAAACACATTTTAAAGAACATTTCACCCATTTTATATTAACAGTTTAGCAAATGTTTATAACTGATGGCACAAAGCAAAAATTTCCCATCTATATAATTACAAAAATCTCAATAAGTAAGATCAAATTTTAGTATGAGATATTTAGATTTTTTACTTTAAGAGTTCCATTTGTCTTTCCTCTAGTTGAAAGTTAGCATAAGCCTAGGTGAAAGTGTGGATGGATTCCTTTCATTTAAACATAGTGCCACCAGGAGAAGGAAGGAGTTGCTTTCTCCTCACGATCAGTTATTAGAAGGCCCCCACTGAATCCTGCCCTGCTTTGCCATCTGTAAAGCCTGGCTACAGACAGCCCTGTGTGTTTTTGGTTTTATGTTCTTGAATTCATTCTCTACAAACTACTGAACACAATTAACTACTACATTGAGTGGGAATATGCACATCCAAGAAGTTTTATATAAAAGTTGTAAAATTAGTAACAGGCATATTTTTAAAAAATCTTAGAAAAAACTAACAAGAGCTGCCTGGGTTGTACAAATACCATGAAACAAAGTTAGATGGGGTGAACACAGAACGGTGTTTTAGTGGTGTGGACAGGGCTCCAGTAGCAACTACGTCTTCAACTTTCTAAAAACAGCAATTACATTAGATATTCTAATAAATTCATCTCAGTGCAATGCCATCTGTCTGTCAACCACTTCATATTGCTGAACACTTAGTGGAATGGGTCACACTTAAAGTCCTGCCCAAGGGTGAGTCTGAGGGAAATGCAGACCTGTCTCCAGCCATAGCAGGGGACACACACCTCTCTGCTGCGCTGCTCTCACTGGGTTTTGATCAGTTTGTTGGCAGTAACAGAGGGTAGGGATGGACATAACCTATCAGTGCTTCAACTGAATTCTGAGCAACATTAGAATTTTATTGGGAAGCCAGCAGCATTTTGTGGGTCTCTTTTTCTCTTGTCTAGGACAGGTGTTAGTTGTCTGCCACTCTGCCAGAGATGCGTCCATCATACGGTATAAGGAGCTCCACCGAACTTCCCCCATGATGTTGAGGTCTGAGACCTGGGTTAC